TATTATTTAGAATATATAAATATTTTATTTTATTAACTCTCTTTTTTTCTCTTGAGTTCTTGCAAAGTTTTTTAATAGTATTGTAAATACCAAAAAAATAGTTAAATGTGCTGCATCTTCTGCTTTTGACTGATAACGGTATTATAGAGCAACAAATCTAGCAATAAATAAAGAAGATTCAGCTGAAAGATAAATTCTCGATTGCCGAGAAGATTCTCGGTTTATTTTTCCACCCGTATTGCGTCATTTTCTATGGATCCTGACATATTCCTCTTGCTTTCGTCCTGCAGAGACACAGGCGCACACCTGCGGTTCTCCGCAACTCGGGAAACCGTTATGGTCATCGGACAGAGATTCCGCCTAATAAAGACATAATTCTACGAGATAGGATCTACTTCGGTCGTGTTCGTGCGCGTACCACTATCTTTACGAGTGACTACCTCTCCGTCTAATTCGAAAACAGATCGAATGTCGGCCTCTCGGTTGACCAGCGCTCCGCGCGCGCAGATTCACGATCTTTCCCGGAAAGAAAGGACATCCCACGCGATTTACGGCCTCGTTAAGTCCCGAGAAACTATGCAGACTCGTATTAACGATGCGTCGCAGATGTATTAACCATGATTGTTAAGCGATCTATGCATACGGGACCGAACACAACGGAGGTTTCATCTCAGATCCGTTTCCTGCAGCTGACATATTTTTCTAAATTTCTCTTCTTTCCTATGAATTTTGAGACACCTAATATGTAATTACAGATCAACATTGTGCCATTCAACTATGTTAATTTGCATTAATTATGTCCGGAAACACTTTTATCGTGAATCTTTCCAGAAAAATGGTTAATAATTTAATTTTAGCTTCTAGAAATACCTAATTTTTTTTTACTATAATTCGTATATTGCGATTACATGCCTCTTTTCTCGCCTTCCCCGCTGTTCCGTTTAACTTTCGCGCATCGCTGGTCTCGTATTCCACGCAAATCGACCTGAAAACGCACGAGGGACAAAACAAGTCGCTCTCCATCGCCGGCCGATCGTCTATAAAATGGTCGGCCATTCAACGCGATAACAACAAGTTGATGAAACGATTAAAACCGTAACGAGCCTCCTCCTACCGCAGTCCACGGTCGGTGATTGCTGTTGTTATAATCCGCCGCGTTCCCGCGGGAGCTGTCGGTCAACGTGCTGTCGGGACGTCTCCCACGGGATACGCCCCTGATAAATCCGTCCAGCTGGTATTAACCTGGTGTTTTCTCGTCCTTTTACGTGGCAGTGATTCGGCGATCGTTGCTGCGAATTGTCTAGAAAATCTAAACTTTACCATTTCTCATCGAGATTTCAAAAGATATTATATTGTATATAAAATTATTCAACATCAGTTTATTATTACGGTATTTTGAAGATTTGAAAAAAATAGATTAAAACATTAATTTGTAAGATTAGTTTTAAATAAATAGGAATTACGAACGTGTGTGATTTTGTGTTTAAAATAAAATCGATCTCTCACAGATAATGAATTTAATTTAATCGTACTCTGAATTTTAAAATTACTTTAAAATTGAAAGAGATGGGCGCGGCAACTGTATTAATTTTTTTTTTTATATAATATCCGGATTGTATATTCCATATATAAGCGCTCTGAGATAATTTCCCAAAATAAAGCAAGCGTCTTACGATCGAGCACTCTTAAAATTAGCGTGATGCCGTCCCAGGGACCGACTGGAAGTCGTAATTCCGTCATTCTTCAATATCGTTGCCATCGCTAAGTGCCGAAATCACTCAGTGGGCGGGAGAAAACGTTTCGACGATCGTCACGGCGGTTTTTCCATGATAATCTCAGCCGCTACGGATCTATAGCTGTACGCCGGGCGAATTATCTCCGGGGACGCGTGGAGAGGGCAGGGGAGGAGAGGGAGTGAGAGCACGCGATAAATAAACGTTAACCCCATTCAAGTAAGTGGTTATGTTTTTAACACGTGTTGGCGGCTAACAGTTTGCCTCCCTCCTCTCCACAACCACCCTACTATTCTTTCCGCGCTCTAACGTCGTGCTCTACGATCGGCCGTAGAGAAATGCACTCGTCCACCATAGCCATCTTCCATGTCCATAAGCCATGTTATGCTCACCAATGGCGTAACAGCGTGGGGATAACGTAAATCTATTTTACTTGAAACTTAAAAAAATTTCTTTTTTTTTTTTTTAGTTGATTACATAATTATTACGAACGTTTTTTAAATGTTTTTTATTATTTCTTTATTTTTAGTAAACATCTCATAGAAACTTTACAAAGTTATAATTGGAGGTTCTTTGAAAAAAATATCAAAAATTCATCTTCCTTTAAGAAAAAGTTTCGGCAAAGATAAAGTTACACTCGCGCTATGTAAATATACGTATAAAGCAATATTCATTAAAACACAGTTCGGATAACCAATCTTTTTCTCATGAGAAGAGATTTTTATTAAAACATTCGACGAAATCACTCGTCACAGAACAATTTATAACTTTAATTTGCCCGTATGTAAATGCAGATATTCGCGGAGCTAAATCTTTACGGTAGGACCAATTATGTTCTCATTGCTCATCTCATGTTAATCATCATCGACAGGGTACGATCCTCGCGTAGAGCTCGCTCGGTTACGCTGTTGGTATGCACGCACGAGCGTATACGCGACTTTTACACGCGCGAGTCGACGAGGGATGAGTGCGGTGGAAAGAGAGAGAGAGAGAGAGAGAAGTAGAGGGAGAGAAAGAGGGTGAATCGGGGTGCAGGAGCGCAGGGAGAGAGACGGAGTGGGCAGGGAGGGAGGGAGGCAGGAGGAGAGGATAGCGGGGGCTTTTCTCGTCGAGATGGGAGATGCGCCGACATAACCGATAAATAACAACGGCAACGAGCCTGTCAGACCCTTGTTAAAGCATCGTGCACACGCTCACGCGGACCAGCACGCATGCATTCACGCATTAGAATGCGTTTTAACACACTCTCGATCTCTCTCGCTTATGCCCTGGTGGCGAGAGTGCCGTATAAATGTTTTTTGGGCCCCCGGGGCCCCGTGCGCGCCAGTGACGAATATTATCCGGGCCTCTTCCGACTGCGAGAGAGACGAACGGTAATTAATATCGTTTCTTTATAACACAGAAGGAAAAAGAGAGAGGGACAGAGAAGCATCATTTCCTACAGACGATTGTTACTTTGTCGAAGTTCTCAGAAACAAAACGCCGCACTCACGCATCTCGTGCATGCGTTGTATCCTGTTACGCGCAGAGATGCATCCGCTGGAATTTATAGCGCGCGATCGAATCCTCCGACGAGGCGTGCATGCAAGTTTCATATACGCACCATTGTCCGTCATTATGTTCGCGTGCCGCTTACTATACGCGCGATTAATAGATCACGCCTTTGTTGTCTAACAATGAACGTATCTGTTGTTTCAGAGATCTTCTGGACGTCTACAACGTAAAGCATCCAAGGAAGAGGAGGAGGAGGAGGCTGCGGTTAAAGGTAGAAATTATTGCGATTATTATTAAAGCAGGAAGTCGTACGAGAGCGATCTTGCTTGCGGTAATATTATTCACTTTTGTGCGCGATGCTTGTACATGGAGAGAAGTTATCACACTTTAATATTTTATCGTGATTTTATCTAGAGGGTGATAGATAAACCTCGAGGTTAATCTTTAATCTGTTTATGAGAAAACTTGAAAAATTTATCATAGCGGCCTCGGTGCTAATATTTTACGACAAATTTTTAAAGCCCGTTTAATTTTAATAACGAACGATTTCGGAGCCGGTATTTCTCCTTTTCTTCGACCACGCCCCAAGTGTCTCGATATTCGAGAATATTTGAATTTGGTGTTGAGAAAATTCACGCTGCACGCGCCATCGTTTTATCCGCTCAACTTAACACGCCGGTCGGTTACGCCGGAGTTACGAGCTCCGCTCTGTCCTTCGTCTGCACCCCGCCGCGCCTTAAGTACACGTTTTATGAACTGTACTTTATGAATTTGTCGAAGAGTGCTTGCTTATGATGGTTTCGTTAGCACGCCCCAAGCGGTTTACTGACGAAGGACGGAAAGAGGCGAGAGGACGAGCGAGAGAGAACGGGGCAACTTCCAACTCCTCTCCGCTCATCCAGCATCCTCCGCTCGAATACCCGGACGAGGAATGGCTTTCATATCCCGTTCTGAGCTCGCAATATTATCTGGCGGGTAATACGCGCAAGAAATTGACGGCAGGGATTTGCCGCGCGTCTCCGACGACCGTGAGATTTATATTAATTGCGCCGAGCGCGTTCAACGTATACCGCGTTCGCTTTTTATGCGCGTTATTAAGATGCATCCTGATCTAGATCCGATGGCAATCTAGATCAATAGTTGACAATGATACATGCTAAAAAATATAAACGTTATATTTTTTTAATTGCATTTTTAATCACAACAGTTTTTCTCATAAACACAGATGTTTCTGTTTAATAAATTTTTGTCGAAATGATTTTCTTCCTATATGCCATATCATTTTATTAAATGATATCGTATGTACATATTTAGAGGACCACTAATATGGCTGATTAAAATATTATGAGTTGGTTCGAATCACAATGAGTTCGAACGTAATAATCAAAAAAGTCTATTGCAACTGTAAATTCTCGTGAAAGCGAAATACGTAAAAAATATTGTAAAAATCGGAGAGAATAAAGGGAAAAACACCGGGATACATATCGCAAACGAGATTTATGTTTCGGAAAACTCTGTCGAGAGTCTGCTTCGAATTAACGGACGGCACGTGCTGCCGTCAAAATCGATTTTCCCTCGTTCGGAGTAAATAAAGACAAAATAGGAACACACTAACTGTATTTTCGCTTCTCGAAGGATGAAGCTTCTCGCGCGGATTTTACTTTGTACAGATATGCCTTTTAACAAAAGATAATAAAAATATAGTTAATTACTCGTTTTATCTGGCTTATAAATTACTACGCGTATTAATCACATTGACTTAATATCAGCAAATGTATCATGTAACAACGGAACTGTTTTATCGTAATACAAATACGATGATGTAGCAATTTATAGTAATTACGATGTCAGTTGTACAGTTGGCAGCCGCGCTACTCTGCCTGCCACCCGTTATATTTTCTTTCTTCACTGCCTTAAGCATTATCTCGGAAAGTTGGCACCTGGCTCCGATATAAACTGCTGTATCGCTTTCACGAGGATTCAGACAGAGCTGCCAACCCCCGTTACAATAATATTTTCTCAACACCAAGACGTTGTTTACAGTGTAAACGCGGTACCCGTCGGATTATCCACTCGTCCCTTACCGTCTTTCATGTCCATTTACCGCGGGAAAATCGCCACCGTATTCCCAAGAATTGCTGCAAATTATTATATACAGCAAGACAATCCACGAAAAATTTTTAAATAATTAGTTATAAAAACCTCACAAAAATAAAATTTTTAAATTTTTATATATATAATAGTTTACTATATAATTTAATTGATATATAATTCTAAAAATAAATACCACAATTCTTTTATGGAATAATTTTCCACATTCCTTTTTTTATATAGTATAAAAAACGATCGTTGTAGCATTTTTATCGCTTCTGATAATAATTCACAATCGCGATTAAAATAAGAACTGAAGGCTAATTCGAGCTGCGGTCGTCTCTAAATATATCTCTGTACATAAATCTCTATCGTTAGTTGCGATAAATCTCCCGTTGAGTCGCGATGTGCAAGAGACTGCTTAATTGAAGAAACACTGTCTACATTTTCCCTCGTTTCACAGAAATTTCTATAATTATTCGCCTCATTCGTCACCCTCTTTCACCGACATGGAGATCACGGCGAGAATGAGTATCGCGCAGCTTCGCTATTCAGATAAAAAAAGAAAAAAAGAAAAGAGGAACCGGTTCCTCGTGCGGGGGCGAAGCGGGACACGCGAGATCAATTCCAGACAATATGTAGAACGATTTCTCTCGGCTTCTGGAGAAAATCCGTCGTCTGTGGAGGGCGAATAACTAGAAGACGGAGAGCGAACGAACGGCAATCCTCCCCTTCTATCCTCCTAGCCAGGTCTCGCATTCTTTATCCCAACGGCGATTTATTTTCTGTCATTTTTCCGGGGGTAAGAAGGGGAGCCGTGGGGTGGCGAACGGAAGCGCGGGGTGGGTAGACGAGGGCCCGGGAGTATATCTTCCACTGCGAAAGAAGGTTTTATTGGCCTTTTTATGAGACGAATAAACGGCCCCGTTACGCGGATTTACATACCGCTTGTTTCGTGATTCACCGACTTCCATTTGCTCGCCACCTAGCCTCCTCTTTCTCTTCCATCTTTCTCTCCTTCCCTTCCTCTCTCTTTTTCTCTACCTCTTTCTTCGTTTCGTATTACTATTCTTTCTCTTTGGCTTCTAGTCTCCTAGGGGAGAAGTAGCAATAGCTACTCGCCTCTCGAAAGATGGATTTTCGCCTCCGTGCTGTTGAACGGCGAATGCTGCATCGCGATCGCGCTTTAGGAAATATCTACACTTTGCCGCCGTTCGTTTCGCCAGAAAAAGAAAATGCCTTGTTACTTCGGATTCATTTCATTCGATCTGACGTCCTTACGAGCGACGATAAAAGATGCACATTTCTACCTTATTGAACTTCTGACAATTTTTTTTTTTTTACGTTATAACTGTTATAACTGTTAAGAGTTTATCGCTCGTTTCTCTGAAATCATATAGCATAACTTTATTTTCAAGTATAAGTCGCATATGAGCGAAGTATTATTTGCCAATGTATGTATATATATCTTCTTTTAAATCGAATAATTTATTAATCTCCTCATTAGAGAGAGCGACGTTCATTAATTTATGTTACAAGAAAGCCGTTTTGTTTATCATCTGACCTTTTTTCGAGCCTATACTGCTTTCAGTGCCGCTAATTAGATAAATCGCAACGTATTAAGCCCCATTGCGATAAATAACAGGATGAAAACAACAAGTCATTTAGTAACGGATGGGAGAAAAAAAAAGAGATCAATGTCCTTATCGCTCGTTTAGAGTAAGCTGATGTAATTATGACGAAATGTTGCGGAATGATTTATTGGCTTATCACTCGTTTCGGTTCATGGCGCACGCGCCACTGAGGTCTCTTCTTAATTAATTTATTAAACGATTTTTGTTTAAATTATTTAATTACAATAACATATAACATTATTATAATGATGCAAAGAGAATTTTGCATCAGCTGATTGCTCCCCTTGCTCATCTCTATGGAGATATATACGCATTTTTTATTTTTTCTCTTTGTTTCGCAATTTCGTTGCTAAAAATACAAGCAATCGTGGAAGTTTCGATATCGCGCAAGTATTTATAGGAAATTGCGTCAATCGTGTTATGATGTTAAAATAGCTACGTCACATATCGTCTGCATATCAAAGTTGAATAACGCTAATAATGACGCATCTGAGAGGATGTACCTATATGATACAACAATAAGATGGGCTAATAAAGCAATATCATTATTCGCGCCACGGTAGGTACACGGGTTAATTTAAGAGAACAATGTCGCAATAAGCAAGAACAGCGCCTCGTTCTTTTCGTTTGTCGCTATAATTGATATTATAGTTCCTCGCGTATTTTAATATGCGCGATCGGCATTTCGCACGACCTTTTCTATTACATAATGAAGCAATTTAATGCGCGAAAAAAAATCCACGGCCGATCACACTGACGACGGACGCGGCATCGCTGCCGAACGACACCGATAGATAATTGCGAGCTTGTAACAACGCGGCAATTCCGTAACGTTACAACACCCCTTACCTGTATTTAACGTCACTAAACCGAAGGAGCGAAGTAATCGCGGCCGCTCCGGTAATTGTACGACCGGCCAATTACAACATAACGGATCCTCGGGACCGCGAATACGGAACCCGCTGTAAATCCAGTTTGGGTAAAACGCAATCATTTTCTCCATCGTGCACGCAGAGAGGCGGAGAGAGAAAGAGAAAGAGAAAGAGAGAGAGAGAAGCAGTCAATTCGAAATAATCATAAAAAATCGGCCGCGCCTGATGAGCACGTTGTCTCGTGTAATTTGTAAGACTAACTCTCCATGATCTCTGGATATTAAATTTCAGCGTAATTTAATTCCGTCGCGAGAACGGTATGGAAATATCGAGGCTGAAGTTATGAATTTTCTTTATAAATTTTTTGGGGATTTATGTAATTTAATATGCATAATATGTGCATAATACTTTTTTATGTATAATATTATACGATACTTATTTTATAATCATATTAGGCATATTTCGTGATCAATCTTTACGCGCATTTATAATTAATTAAGCGGCGTTTCTGTTAGATTTGCGAGCGTGATCGACGGGTTTAACTGCACGTAGCGGCTATCGAATTACGCGGTGCACTTATCTCGGGACGCACCCTGAGCAACGGTAACAAGGTCAATACGTATGTGTATATATGTATACGGGCCGTCGCCGTGCATCATGGCACAAAGAGGCCG